CCCTGCCTGCAAAATTGAACCAGAAAAAAGTTCCATTCACCTGTTCTCCTGCAGTAACTTAATCCGACGCCCCATTTCTGTTGCACTAAGTTGCTCATCATGTGGAACAGCAGGTTTTTCGGAAGTAGCTTTCCCTATTTCCCCACAAGCTGCAATTGCTGAGGCTGTTCAAGGGAAAACAGATTTGTAAACAAAACCACAATTTTAAAATATCAACTTGGAATGTCCAGTGCAGGGTAATCATATAGTAACTGCATACACTTTAACGAGCTAGCTGGTGTTGAACTAGTAATATAAAACAGTGAAAAAAAACATTAAACCTTTTAAGAGGCTATTCTCTGATTTTGTTATCTTAACCTATAGACAGCAATGCCAGTTGGGCAAAAAAGATCATTAGACAGAAAACAAAGTCTTAACTCGTTAAAATTTCCGAAAAATCAAACTGTACTTGAAATAATTAATGTCAATTATATACACATGGAATGGAGCATTTAGGCAGCAATATCTTATATTCTGCCCTGCTCAAAATGCTCAAGTTCAGCACCAAGCCAATTCCACACTTGCACACAGGAGCAAGAGAAGCATGGAGGAAAGTGTTACTCAATACTACGAGAAGGCTGGTCTCAACCCTTCCCTACCATTTTATGTATTGTCTTGCCTCCTCCTTTAAACAAAAATCTACTAAACGACCAATGACTTCATTGAGCTCCAATTCGATATTTCTGGGTCCAAAAGCGAAGGCCATCGGTAAAATAGGTAAAAACAAACTCAAAGTCTAACTTACACGAATGTCAACATGTTTGACTAACAATTCAGAATATTCAAGTACAACCCCATACAGCTAATACATGAAAACAAAGGGCAAACGGATTTGATCACACACCACAAGACGGAATCAACAATGAGACACGTAAATGTAATGAAGTCCAGTATATTTCAAGTTTTCACATATTTGAAGCAGAATGGTCCACTTGTAGCTGGGTGATGAAACTGATGGATGAGTCAATGAATGTCATAAAGACTAACCAACAAAGTCCCGACACTGGTCACGGTCAGGGAAGCTATCAAATTCAAAAAGATAATTTCCACCCTGAAAATAGTAGAAAATGGATTTAGTAGCAGTACTCAGATAAGTTAGCAGTTTGTAGACTTCACCAACACTGGGATCAGTCTACTGTTTCTAGACTTGACCAGACATAGAAAGAAAACGGTCACTCTCATAATAAAGGGCTCACAAGTAGAATGCTTTTCCAAACATAAACCCGAACCTGAGCTTGTGTAAGATTAAGTAGAGCCTGCTTACTTGAACACTCCTTGGAAGACTTGTGGCCTGAAAAAAGAGAGGAGAGAGAGTCAGAGTGAGAACGGCGGGAGAGAGAAGCTAAGTGTCGTGAAGGGAAAAAGGACAGACAAAAGCACCTTTAATCAACTTGAACTCCACATTAAGCTTTGTCGTTAATGTTGGGTCATTCGGCATAAAATAAAACCGTTCCTTGGTCTACACACAATTAAAAAGACAAATTAGAAAATCAACAGTTGGTTGCATAACAACTGTAGTAGAATCTACCATACAGAATCTTAAATTCATAGTTCATACCATCTTAAAGAGGAATCTTTATTGTTGAATCCATAACCTGATCAGAAATTGTGTTGCTTCTTTTTTCAGATTAATCCCCCCCCCCCCCCCCCCCCACCCCAACCCACCC